TTTTCTACTGCTACGCAGACTAGTTGCTGCAATCGTATTCAAAGGTCAAACCGTATCCGACTACTGGTGGTCTCGACGCACGATTTCCCTGACACTATCGACGTAGCTCGAGGAGGCGATCACGAATATCGTTGTTTCAAATTCTAACTTTTTCCTTACAAAAGTACCGCACAAACAAAACGCGAATGAAAAAATTGTCCCGGACGTACCATTTGCATTCCGAGATCGGACAATCCTGTCCACAGGCCAACTCTCCCATCTCTCTTTCACAACAACCACAAGAACACAAAAACACACCACATCACTCTGTCAGGACGAACATAAATTCTTAGTTAGGCCTATAACTTGTTGGGAGTTTGCCACCCGACAAGTTTTAGCCTTTTTTACAACGAAGGGAAGGAGGACGTTGCCATTGATAGCTGTATATTGCAAGTTTTGTCAAGGGTAACGATAACACGGTACGATAGGAAAGCTGCCATTGCACTGACTGTGTTGCTCGTTCCGCTCCAAGGATAAGGATAAAGGTCGTGCGTGTTTGGATGCCATCGACAGTAAGTTCAATGTTGTTGCCCCAAACTTCTCCAAAGCGGGAGGCAGCAGTAGAACATCAGATATCAGCTGGTGCTTCCCCCGCGACCGGGCAATATTCTGGGAATAGCGTACAGCTTCCAGTATTGCCATTGCTACATGTTGGTTTCAATCGAGCAGGTCAAAAAGAGACACAAACCCATCTACCACTCTGTGAACACCTGGCGTTGGTGTGCGTGCCACGAAGTAGTGTTTTTGGTGAAGGTGGATGAAGAAGGTTTGGGTTCCTAGTTTTTCTTATTTCTGATACACATACGTTTAGGTTCGGCCAGCTAACAACACACGTTCAAGTTTAGCTTAGCATCGCGAGTACGCATGCATGTGGTCTCACAACAGAGATTGGAGCGATTCGATACATGTACAGATAGCGCCCGTACTTCAGAACTTGGCAGTGAAGAAATTGAAACTCGAAAAAAGGCAGAAGCTAAGAACTGGAGCACCATTTGTTGTGGGCCCGGTTAAGAACCCCTACGCTAAAACCTGTAATGGCGTTGTGTTNGAGCGATTCGATACATGTACAGATAGCGCCCGTACTTCAGAACTTGGCAGTGAAGAAATTGAAACTCGAAAAAAGGCAGAAGCTAAGAACTGGAGCACCATTTGTTGTGGGCCCGGTTAAGAACCCCTACGCTAAAACCTGTAATGGCGTTGTGTTGCCCACAAGAGGATGATCAGCAAAATAAGAGCCCCAGCCTCGGCCGAAACTAGAGGTGCTTAAGTGCGGGCGCCATCTGCACTGCCCTTTTGCGGGAGCCCACGATTGCACTGCAGTACAGATTCTGCATGCATCACTTGAGAGCCGTTTCACGTAATGCCAAGATGTCGATTCAACCCGCCGCGTTCTTTTGCACAACCCCGTTGTTGGCGAATTTTGGGAGGTCTCGTTGGTACATGGGTCCGCACCAGCTGAAAGAAACAGCAAGGATATTGCGTGGGGACAAGCTCAAATATTGTCACCACCCCCGTAATTGCTACGGAACTGTATTGTGTCAGGACGGGGTGGGTGTAGTCAAAGAACACCGGTCGGTTCAATTCTCCGAATAAGGAACACCTTGTTGCTTTCTTTTATTCCCGGAGTCATTCACTGCCCAGTTTGTTACTTCTCACAACAGTACCACATAGTAGTGATTCATGCATAGCTCTATTATATGCATCCGACAACACTTTTGCTCGCGGAGCGAAGGACCCTCAGTAGTCTGCACGCGCCACCCTCACTGAGTGACCCATTTTGGCCGGTAGTCTACGCAGCAAAATCGATTAAGCAAACATATCGGATGAAAGTATTCAATCCGTGCTTGAGGGTAAGGGTTAGGATTAGGGTCTTCGTGCCCCTTCCATATTCTTGTTCTAGATACTCTTTTATAAAATCCCGCGTAGGCGGTCCCATTTGACAGCGCCCAAACATTCCAAACGAACGATACTTGGCCGTTTGCTATTGTACACTACTGCAGTCCATATGGATATCCATGCCTTTCACCCGGCCGATCGATCTGTCTCTGTGACCGCGCAAAAAGGGTTGCTGTATGAACGGGCCATGATGTTTTTCACGTGCCCGATCTGTACCAAGATCTAGTCGAGATGTGCATGGGTGGTGTGTGCCTCGGTGTGTCGCTTTCGACCTGTGAACATGCCTCTTTCTTCAGCCGGCTACCCGATCAGTACGACCGTTGCCGATTGGTTTGTCAAGTGTTGTGCGCACACATAGAACCTAACAACGGTGTTGAACACGGCATTTTCGCCTGGACTTCATACCGCCGGCGACATCCGACCATCGTTGAAAGGTAACAACCGAGGCGTGCAGTGGTTCGTCCAAACACGAGAGGGACTAAGCCAGAAGATCGACCTGCTTCTACTTCGGGTGCGTCCACTTCGTGTACGCTTTCGTTTGTTCCAAGGGTTCAACACTTGGTCCGTCGTATCAAATGACATTCGTCTATATCCTCATCATCCATTTCTCGGTGGCGGGAGACCCGGAACAGAAACCAGAGCAGTCTCGCGGAGGGGGGGAGACAACTAACTGCCTTCACATCTGGCCTGGTGTAGAAACAAGGCTACAAAATAAAGAGCGACTGTTGTTGATTGAAGCATCATCTCGATGATGCTCGCCTACAAAGGACAGCGTGCATGTTGGTGGCGCAAGAAATGCTGCGCCACCTAACAGTACAACGAATGGACCACAACAACACGACTAACAATGCAACGCGATGGTTACCCGCAACTTCTACAGACACTAAATCTTCGGTCCAGCCCAACCGAACACACTGTCCTCTACCAATAATTGTACAACACGAGATGGATGGGTGTTATGGCGAAATAAATTCGACAATCTTCTCTAAACAAGACAACATTTACCGAGTGTTGCCAGCAGCTAAACTAAAACAGGAATGCAACATTCGCCAAGGCGATTGAATAGCGTTCCTCCACATGATTTGTGTAGCGCCGCCGCTGCTGAGCAAACAAAGAGCTATAGTCTAACACGCAGCTCTCAGGTTGATCGACATACCGGCAGCCCGTACCGCCGAAACATTTTACGGAATGCACAAAAACAAACATCAGTCGACACCACAAAATACTCCACGACACGTTCGGCATTTCCTCCCACTTCCACGCCTAATCCGTGTCGTGTCTCCTTCCCTGCACACCCACCCATCACCTGCTCCCACAACCCTATCCGAAAACACGAGCAACACCAACGGACACGACCGACCACGGAAGCGGAAAATAAACCCTGTCAAGAGATTGCCAAGAGATGAGATGGAGTTCGGTAAACCTAGAACCTGTACGACAGGCTGAAGGCGTCCTCGTCATCGCTGTCGTCGTCACTGTCGTCGCCTTCCTCTATCGTGAAGGTACCGGAGCACGAGTAGAGAGAATCGTCCTCGAAGCGGGCCACTCGAATCTTGTACTCTCCAGCGTCCGTGTCGCACGGGATCTCCACGTCGTAGTCACCCACTATCGAGGAAGAACGGGGGGGGCGTACTCTTATGGTTTGCATGCCTTAGCGGTTAGACCATTGACCACGCGTCCTCCAGAGGACGGAGCATTGTTCCCACAGGACCGATCACCGATGGCCAATCGTTCTTTTCTACTTTGCCAAAGGTGGCTCAAAAATGTCTTCTCTAGTCTGTCTATCCTAACGATATCCCTTCCCGCCTTTTCAACCCAGCTCCTATGCCCCACTACAGCTACCGTCTTTTCCTCTCTTCTCCACGCCTCAAACATCTCCCTGTACGTCCCATCTATTTTTCCCAGGGAACAAAAAAGGGGACTTTAGAAGACGCTTCCCGGTACAACAAAATCTTGGATTCCAGGACCAACTGACTGCGAGACAACCGCAAGTGAGAAACGCACAAAGAGAAACCATTCGAACAGCAGTATCTGACAATAACTGCAGTGGTGCCTTGCGTAGCAAGTGGTTTTGTCTCGCAAGTTGACCGGGGGGGGGGGGGGAGCGCGTGAGAAAAGTGCCTACTCACTGAAAACGGCTCTCTACGTTCCGTGTGCGCAGATTGAGGGTTGACACCGCTAGCTCTACGGGATCTTGACGCTGTTGTGTTGCACGGTGAGACAACATGGAACAAGCGTACACACGCCGCGTTGGCCGAACACAAAACTCACTCGAGTCCTTGCAGCCGATAGTAGGCTTGTCGCAGATGGATTGCACGTACGTCCCGCAGTCGCCTTCTCCGTCAGCGCGGTAGAGGTCTATCGCGAACCGGTCCACGCTCGATCCCACCCCGTTGTCGTAGTCGAACTGCCGCCAGTTCAACGAGAATCCAACATGAAGAAGAGAGAGATTGAGAGATTTCCCGACGGGATCTGGAATTAAAAACGGTGTGTGTGTGTGCGTGCCAACTCGTCGACAGGACTGCACGCGCCACAAATACCTGGCCCCAACAGCCTCCAAAATCAATTTCAAGAATGAGTCGGGGTAACACAAACGACGCGAACCAGCCGTTTGAATGATGCAAACCCTGACAAGGCTCAAACCTGGGCAACCGTTCGATTCGGGTGTAACATCCGAGGACCACTTCGACAAAAGAGAGAACGGCAGTGGACCAACTGAGGAGAAGCGCGCTACGTACACCCAGAACGTGTGTTCGTATGTGTAGATCGATAACTTCATGGAATCGTTGAATTGACATGAGGTCGATGTCCAACAGAACATCAAGGAAACACGAGGTTATCTAACCTCTTAACCTTTCGCAAAATTGCTCGATTGAATTTGATGAGCCGTCATTTTTGTCATGTGCAGAGAAGGCTCAATATCTCAAACATCGTGGTGACATTCTGTGTGACTGAAGAAAAACAAGAACCTACACCGACGGGCAGCAAAGCCTGCGTCCGGTCTCTCACCTCGACGGTGTACTCTCCGCACGTCGTGGCCAGGTCACCCGAGGCAGGCGAGGTGACCTCCAGGGTCGGGCCGTCCTCGTCGCCCACGGAGGGGGCCTCGCTCGAGGCCAGCAGGTAGAACTCGTCCGAGCAGTCCGCGTCCTCCTCGTCATGGATGTCCCACACGCGCACCTTGTAGCCCGAGCCGGACGTGCCGAGCATGGGCTCGGGCATGACGATGTCGTAGTCGCCCTCGTTATCCGGGCAGCCGTCCTCGCCGTACGGGCACAGGGCCGTCACCCAGTCACCGCAGTCGTCCTGTTTTATGAGAAGCGATCGCAGCGGCGGGGAAGGATTTGGACAAAATGGTTGGCGGAGAGCAAAAAGAGAGCGCTCGCCCGTCCTAACGGGTATGGATTCTACTTACACCGTTACTTTTGACAGCAGCTGTCAGCTGGAGCGGGACCGGGGAACAACTGAAAGCGACCTGTTTTGAACAAGAAAATCTACTGTTGAAAAAGGCCAGTCCGCATCACCGACGATCACGGGCCCACCGCCGCTGTTTTAGTCCGCACACACAAGAACACTGCTGCTATACAAACGAACGGAGCAAGTGAAAACGAATGCAGAGAAAGCGGCTTCTTTACTTTGAGGCATATGTGTAGTCTACACAGGTCTAGTGGGTAACTTCGCAGCCTGCTAAGGGCCAGGTCATGGGTTCGAGTCCCGGCAGAGTGAGTTTTTTTCTCACTAAATATATCCTGGTAAAGGATGAAAGCGACGCGCTGCAAAGCTCGTAATTAGTAAACCATAATCGACTTCGTAAGTCGCGAGCGAAGGGATTGCTGTACCCTTCTCGCGATAAAAATACCTCAGGCAGGAACCGCAGGAGGGGGTCCAGCCCCCCCCTCCTATGTGACCCCGGTTAGGTCGTCTAGCTAGTAGAAGTGGAGGATAGGGGCCAGAGGGGCAGACGACAGAGTCCAATGATGGGAGAAAAAAAAAGAGAAGGCTCTCACATTTCTACTATATAAAGTCTAGGTGCTTCGTGGCAATATGGACAAAAAATCACGATGCCGCAGGCAGTAGGGCGCCGTGTGCCGCCGCACTTCATGCTCTTGTCGGATAGTTATCGAGACGTTGCGCCGATCTCACCGTGACCCGCCGCGGACAACGGGCCCCGAAACACGGAACACAAAAGATCCAAGGGTACTGCTGTCACCTCACTCTGTCCTCCGACCGAACCTTGCTCACCTCCATGCACATCGAGCCGCAGTAGTAGAGGTCGATCTCGAAACGGTTGTCCGAGCTAGTGCCCGTCCACTCCACGGTGTAGGTCCTTCAAATCGCGAGCAGCAAGACGAGGTTAGTGGAGACTATGTTGTACGACCCAAGTCCGCTCACACTGCTGTAGGAAGAACATCGCCACCAAAATACTGGCCATTTGAGTACATTTTATTTTTCATTGTATTATCCTTCCCCATGTAGTAAATTTTTAGAATTTCATCGCGATTATGACAAGGGCAGCTGCTCATCTCTTGCGTGTGTCGCTCTCAATAGCGATAAGAGTATCAGAGGCTTGACGCGGCTACAGGCGCCCCTGTCCAGCATGTCGTCATGGAATAATGACGAAAAGGGGCGACAACGCACAGGACGACTCCATGCAGCATACAATCGATCCGCCCGAGTGGACTCAACAAATTGACCAACCAATCAGAAAACTGCGGGCACCTTACACACAGCGGCTTGTTCCGATAGGTGTACCGATGACTTTGTGGACAACAGCGCTACTACAGCAGCGGTCGCGTGCCCAGGCAGAGGGAGCCAGTTTTGTTCTCTCACCGGTCCGCGATGACGGTGAGGCCTTTCGACGGCGTGGACACCTTGAGGGCGTTGGCGGCGCCAAGCATGCCGCAGGCCAGAGCAACGAATCCAGTGCGAGTCATCCTCTTTCTTATCCTCCGGGGAAAAGTGAATTGAGGACAGGTTCGGAGTCTGGCGGGCTTCTTGGAGCGGCGGTACGCGTGCGCGAGGATCGGCTGGCGACTTAGTGTGTTGTTCGAGTTGTGGTGTGGTGGGAGGAGAGGGTGTGTGTGTGGAGTGTGAGGGATGGGCGAGAGAGAGGATGGGAGATCAGCAAAAGCGGCGGCTCTCAGCTCAACGGTCTACAACAGCAGAAAGATCCGCTTTTACATGAACATAAAATGTTGTACTTGGGTAAAAAGGAAGAGGTCAGCCATACTTGATTTCAAATTTGAAATCACCGCCCACGATCCCCAACCTCCGCCCCCACCAAAGCTTGCTTGCGTGTGAATGAAAGTGCACAACGTACATGTACGTGTGGCGCCGTGGTGCCGCGGCACCACGTATCATCGTGACAATCAGCCTGCCTGTGCTGTATGGCGCTTGATGGTGCGCGGCGCGAAATAATTGGCGTCGTACTTTGTTTTTCTACGACGAAACAGACACATTTTGTATATGTGCAGCGAGGCTGACTGACTGTCGTTCTATCTACCCCACAGCAACAGCACCAACCAGGCAAATACTAACGGGCGGTGTTGGTTCACGATTGCATCCATTCGGCATTGCTCTCACACGTATCGACACAGGTGGTGCCGGGCGGTCTAGACTTTATTTCTTGGAAGCTCGAGCTTAGCAGAGGATGTTGTATGGGTGTATAGACGAATAGTCACTACAAGTAAGTTTCTCATCGGTGAAAAACAGCCTCATCCAGTTGGTTTAGCTCAGGAGCCAATTTCCGGAAGGTTTTACTCCACGCTACTACTGCTGTAAGGACTTCAGAACATGTCCATTCCTTTCGGCTCGGTGTGGTTATATCTCGAACGGGCAGTCTTTCTGTGAGTGTTCTTTATTATGTTGTTTGTTGTTGCTGTTGTTGTTGTTGTTGTTGTTGTTGTTGTTGTTGTTGTTGTTGTTGTTGTTTTCTTGACAATTAAACTCGCGTCAGTTAGTTGACAATCCCAAAAAAATCTACCGGAAGACTCGGTCCGTGGTCATCAAAAAAATGCTACAGAGCCATCATCAGATCTAAATAACACGCACACTATTAGTAAGAAAAGGGTACACAAGCCCGAGGAGGTAAGCCTACAATCCCTGCAGCACGTTTGCGTGCTCACAACTGAACTAGACTACACGCCCACACACTACAATTCGACTACAGCAGCAGCATCACCCCCCTTGTCCCGCATTTAACCAAAATGAATGTTTGTCGACTACAGCGTACTGCTGTCTGAAGTGCTGTCTGTGCAATAACAACATGGTGCATGGTACACAAGCTCGGGGAATGCAGCTGCTGTCTGACGTGCTGTCAGAATGAGTCCGTGGACATACAATGAAGAACACCCAATCCNTAACCAAAATGAATGTTTGTCGACTACAGCGTACTGCTGTCTGAAGTGCTGTCTGTGCAATAACAACATGGTGCATGGTACACAAGCTCGGGGAATGCAGCTGCTGTCTGACGTGCTGTCAGAATGAGTCCGTGGACATACAATGAAGAACACCCAATCCAAGCCATCGTTGCAATTGACAATCACCCGAATCTATCCAGATCATCTGTGTTAGGCACAGCAGGGTAAACATCGACACTGACTAGACTAGTCTAGGAATCGTTCCACATTGAAGGGGTCTTCCACGATGCAGGTACACAATTGAGGCGCCCGGGTTATCCGCGCCATCTCTGCCGCGTCTCCTGACAAAACCAGTGGCGTCATCACACACCCAACACCTATTTTATCAAAAATATCATAAGGACCTTGCGCACCATTTGTGAGCTCCTACACTAACCCATAGTCTAAGCGACATGCGTAATCTTTGGCCATGACCGTATGTAAGAACTACTCGTAAGAACGCCAGCCTCTGGCGAAAATTTGGGTTCTTGAGTGGTCCGCGTTCTGTGCATGTATGTAACAGCAGTGTACATCGTTACACTCGACCACACAGCAGCCACCACCAAGTACGAACCTCCCGTACAAAGCGCAGCAGCAGTAGTGTTATTCCGTCTCCGGGTTATCAACTGCAGCAGTTAGCTGTCGTTAGGTTTTAGTTCAGGGCCGGGGTCAAGGTCCTAGATTCCGACAACTTAATGAACCCTCAAAATGAAGTGGTGCCACAGAGTATCCAGGAACCCAGACAACTGATGTGTACAAGGAAGCATGTTTAGAGATTTTCAATTCGGTGTGGGATCCAAGATACTGCCAGAAGCATGCATCGTGAAATAGCCTCACTACGGGCTGCGATAGAAGCAGTTGTGGTACAGTTTTGTGCCTATCCATGGTGACTGTCGGCCGAGATGGAAGTGGTGTCCTTGGATACAAGGGATGACAACACCATTGTGGTCAAAAATAACATGACCGGTGTTCGTGCACCCACTACGGGCCCAAGTCTCTCTCGGAAAAAAGGGTGACTCGTCAGGTCTGCACCTTGGTGCTCCGGTACAGTTGACTGAACGCCTCAACGTCCTCCTGACTTCGTTCGCTCGTTTCGCGAGGGGAGGGAGGGGGGAGGGGGGAGGGGCGGGGGGGCGGGGGGGGCGAAGGCCGGCCGAGACGTTCGTCCATGGGCCACGCATCGCTACAACGACGAGACGGGAGCGATGCCGGACAATGTTTGNGCTCTCACATCACCAAGCGCGAAGCGCCGTGACATATTCGGCGAGTCGCATGAAGGGTACGCTGCATCCGGCTAAGGGTATTCGGCATCTTGCGCTTACTTCCTTGCGTACGGATGACAGCTGCGTATGACTTAATTTATTTTCTGGTGCTTTCACTTCCTGAGACAGTTGTAAGCACTGTGTAACTGCCTCGAGGGTGCTTGACCATTTCAACACAACGTGGTGCGATCATCCCCCTTGCGCGGAGTGAGGGTTCTCGACCCCGCACAACATGATCTACTCGGCCACCATTATGGTTACCGCCAACAAAAAAACGGAGATAAGGAAAAAAAAAACGGTAACCTGGTTGCCGAGTTCACGAAGTGAATTGGCTTGTTTTACAACGGCGTTGCCAAGCGACGAAAATCCAATCCCAATGGCAAACACGAGGGGGGGGGAAATGTTTGGGGGGGGGGCATTCCTTTCAGCGGTGCGCGTTCACTCCAGCCAGAGCACTCTCGCGGCATATAGCCGGCGCTACAGGAGGACACAACGGCGGTACAAAAACAGCGTTGGTTCATACGTCCGCGTTCGGACTCCTTTCATGGAACTTCAGAGGGAAGCGAGCCTCAAGCCGGCCGTGGCGTCCACCCACCCACCCCACCCATACATCCTGCATGCTAACCACAAGACAGCCCTACCATTCCTCTCCCTCGGTACTTGAAACGCCCCTATCCACATACATCCTTCCCACTGTCTTTGTTCACCCTTGACCCTTTTCGTCCTCAATTGCACGTCATGCCTCGCGTAGAGCCGCAATATCTAGACTTCACGTCATTCACAACTGGTAACTCTCCAAACGCCTGCCACGCTAGCCCCCAAGCTAACAGGACAATCACGCTTCGCGCCGCCGGCGACTACGTCCCGGGATCAATAGAGTTGTCGCTTTGGTCGGCCAGGTAGGGGCTGGTAAAGTATACCGTCAACGGGGTCAACCTCAACCCGCACGAGTCGTCACCGCCGCCGCCACCGTCGTCGCCTGTGCGTTGACATAGCACCTCCTTCAAGGCTGTTGGTGCCCGCATCCCACCACTTCTCTCCAAAAAACACGGGTGGGAGATGCTGAAGCCATAATTCGCCGACCGTGCACCGGTTCTTTTCTGCTTGCTTTCTTTTTCCCGCGCTCGCATCCCTCTGCTTCTTCGTCCTCCTCCCTCTCCTCCTCGGAGCAACCGCCCCGCACAGGGAAATAAACGTAGGCGTAGCACGGTTAGTGCCTTCGGCACGAACGATCGCTGCTACGGTACAATTGTGGCTCCTCGTCGCCGCGGCAGTGACGACGTCACCCGCCTGTCTGTCACCCGCGCCCGTCGAAAACCCGGGGGACAAGATGGCGGCTGCTATGCGCGGAGTCCGCCGCAGTCAAGCCGTTGTTGGCCCAGCTTCTCTCATCACCGTTGTCGCCGCTGGCAACCCCACACGTAACAACACCGTCTTTGGAGTCTCAGCTACAGCAGTTGTCGACGTCATCGGGATCCTCGCTCGTGCTGCAAGCGCTGAAGAAACTGCTGTCGTCATCGTCGTCTTCGTCGTCGCACTCCGCGTACTGATAATTGCTGCTGTTGCTATCATCATCGCCGCCGCTACTGAACTCCGACTCGTCCGGTCGCGCCATTGTATTTGTCCTCTTTTCCTCCGACAAGCTTCCGTCTTCTTTCTCTTCAAAACCGTCGGCGTGCTGTACACGGCTCCTGCTATCATCACCATCATCACCATTGCTGCCTCCGCTGCTGCTGCTTTCGCTGCTGCTGCTGATTCCGTCGCCACTACCGATGCTGGACTCTGAGGACACCACCGCCTCTTGCAGAGCGCGAAGCAGGTCGGGATCATTCTCGTCGAGCCATCGGGACACCGCCCCGTGCCCGGCGGCCGCGGCGACCGCACGCGCCTCGAGGCCGTGGCACGCGAGCTGCTGCGGACGGAGCTCTCGCAAGAGCTTGACGACGGCGAGATGGCCGTTGCGCGCTGCCCCGACGAGCGCCTCTGACGAGCATCCCTGGCAACAAAAGACACACGCCAGTGTATGCGTGACGGGAGAAAAAAAATCAACGCAAAGCATACCGCCTACCAAAACCACCTGAGGAAGGCGAGTTCACCTATGTACTGTAAGGGTGCCGAAGTTTATTGTTCGTAGGGTGCGAGACAGAAAAAAGTCGCACGCTGGGCAACAAGAGACCAGATGACAAGCCCATAGCCAATCAGTATCAGGCAAGGTTCTACTCCAATTGGCCGCTTATGTCTACCTCTATATAGGAGGCATCGATGTGTATCGTACGGAGTCCATATTTCAATTGCTTGCATGGCCAGTCATTTATGAAAGCATTGTTCGAAAGTGATTCACAGTACCAGCTCCTCCGAAGTGTGATGCAAAATATACTCTAGCACGTTGTACAACTCATCGGATTGCTGTGCACCTGTCTAGGTATGCAACAATTTAGTCCACTAGGACGATATTTGAATCAGACTAGGAATTTTTTTAATTTTTAAGGACAGACTACGTAACCGCCTGCCGTCAATGTGCCACTGAACATGTGTGTCTATGGATAGGCGTCTGTATGTGCACCACAGCAGTCAGTTGCTGAATATCCTACATCCTACAGGAATTCATACATGTAGACTATAGACTGTGCGCTATGCATTTGAAGATCGCCTGCATGATATTCCGGATTTTTTGGATGGATACAACTGTTCCGACCGTTAGATATACTTGTAGCATACGATGGTTGAATGCGGGGCATGGATCTAGGGAGATTATAGTTGGTAGATTGCGGGGGAACAGGGGTTTCTACTTGGTTTCTTCGGAGATACGATGAGTGATACGACTTGCCTGACGGGTGGGCAAGCTTCGGCCTTCCATGTTTGTGTTGGGTTATCATTTTCTCATCATTTTGGGATTTGGGAATAATACGAAGAATAAAGTCTTTCAGCAGCTGATTTCATAGTCAAGAAATCAAAATTGAGATCTTCGGAAACCCAAAAAATTGGAACAAAGGGTGTATACATATAGAAGTACATAGTTACGGTGTATCTTTTTCTATGGATGACAGGTACTTCTACCTTGGAAACGTAGGATCCATGATTCATGCCGCACGTTCGAAGTATTCCAAGTGTGGGAAGATCTGTTGCGAGAAATTGAAACACGCCGGGAGACTGGGATGGATAGAAGGCTCTTTCTGTTCAACCACGTGCCAGTTTCGTTGGCATGAGCCTGAGGCAGGACCATTGTGCCACCGCCCCGCCAACGGCCTTTCTGGACCCTAAGCTCCTCTTGCCCAAAGCACCAACGGAAAAAAATTGCCTGCCCTCGGTAGCGGGTTATAGCAAAATCTATCTAAGCACAGATCTCGGGATATTCGTGGGTCACACCCAGTTGCATTTGTAATAGCACTCAAGGTGTTCCACGTGCGTACGGCATCCAAAATGAGCACGCTGTCTTGCTTCTCAGCGAGCGCCTGCGGTAAGCTCTCCAGAACAGCTCAGTCCAGCGCGCTACAGTTGTACCGCTAGAAGCTTATCAACCAGAGCGGTAGTGATGCGGCGATTATCTCAAGGAAGGGTGTTCCCCGTTCCGTTTGCTTCGTTCCTTCGGGATTTCGGAAGCAAGAAAAATACCACCCTGTTGCTGCTGACGCGCACGAACACGTGCCGATATTTTGTTTAATGAATTTTTTCGATCGTGACTATAAACTGTAGATTATGTCGGAAATGTATGTCCAAGACCAACACCAACAAAACCCAACAAAACCCGGGTAAGAGCCGTGAGAACGGATAGATCGCTCTTTTATTTTCATTTCATTATTTATATTCCCGCCCGAAACACACGCACACAGGGTCCGCATTGATTATAATGTGACACTGACGGTTGGGAGCGGTGCCAGACCTCGAGGAAGTGGAACGGGCAACGAAAGGACTGCAGAACTGGAAGGCACCCGGCAATGACTCCCTCCCTGCCGATATGCTGAAGCTCGACGACGACGACGAGGAAGCCATCGTCCTAGAGCACCTCCGTGACATCCTCGTTGAGGTATGGAACGGAGGAAGATCCCCCATGCGTGGTAGGACGCAACCATCAAGGTGTTGGACAAGAAGGGTGACCGGTCCAACTACAACAACTTCAGGGGGATCTTGCTCCTCTCTCACGTAGGCAAGGTCCCCATGAAGATCATCACGAACCGCCTAAGCGCCTTCTGCGAAACCAACAACATCCTCCCGGAGGAACAATGCGGGTTCCGACCTGGGCGATCCACCATCGACATGATGTTTGTCGTGCGTCGACTCCAGGAGTTGGGGCGGAGAAGGAAAATACCACTCTACATGTGCTTCGTCGACCTGAAGAAGGCGTATGATTCGGTGGGCTGAGAGCTGCTGTGGAAAGTTCTAGCCAGAGTCGGGATTCCTGAGGAGATGAACGCCGTCATCCGCCAATTCCACGACGGAATGCGGGTCCGGGTGCGCGTGGACGACGGAGAGTTTTCGGCCTGGTTCTGGGTCACAGAAGGCCTACGACAAGGGTGTGTGCTGTCCTCACTGCTGTTTAACATCTTCTTCGCCGCGGTCATCGACGCCGTTGCCATTCGATTCAGCGAGGATGATGTTATTCTGCAGAACCTGGTGTACCTGGAGGAGGAGACGGGAGCGGGGGCGAGGACACCACTTGACCGAGTGCGGAGGGCGGTATGGGGAATGCTGTATGCCGATGATGCCGGCGTCGTATCGAGGTCTGCCGAAGGACTGGCGAGAATGATGACCGTCATCGTGGAGGTGTTCGAGAAGTTCGGGCTGACGGTATCGGAGAAGAAGACGGAGACGCTCCTGATTGGCGCAAAAAATAAGCAGACAACAACAACACCGCCCCCACCGTCACCGCTGATCATCGAGGCAGCAGGGCAGAGGTACGCCCAGACGACCGAGTTCTGGTACCAAGGGGGCCTCGTCAACGAACATGCGACCTCACCAGGGAGATCAACTACCAGAGCAGAGCAGCGTGGGCATGCATCAGGAGATATGGCCAGGATCTCTTCGACAAGCCGAACGCACCGTTCAGACTCAAGACTCGCCTGCTCCAGGCCGAGGCAATGGAGGCACTGCTGTACGGCTGCATGACATGGGCCCCACGTCAAGACCAATACCGGACGTTGAGGACGATACACCACCGACTGCTTCTGCGAGTTATCGGTTACCAACGCGAGAAGGGCACCTACCGGCAGCTTTCCTACGCCCAGACCCTGAAGCGGGTAGGGTGCCAGAGCGTGGAAACCACGATTCGGCAACGCCGCCTGCTATTCGCGGGAGCGCTGGCAAGGCAGCCAGACGGACGACTCCCGAAACGGGTGATGCTTGGCGAGCTGGTGGGGGGGGAGGCCCAGGCAGGGGGAAACCGGAATTAGACTGGCAGATGTGCCTGAAGGACGACCTCAAGATGTTCGAAGGAGAGCACGGATCTATGGACGCCGAGCCATGCTTCTTCGGAGTCCCGGAAACAACTTGGATGGAAGCAGCGAAGGTGGACCGGAAGGTATCGTGGCATACAGGGGTATTGCAGATAGCTAAGAGGTTCATGGCCTCCTGGAACAAGAAGGAAGAGGAGGCTAGCCGACAACGAGCGCTTAAACGAAACAAGAAGCCCGGCAACAACACTGACACGGCAACAACCATGGGGACGGGNGTGAGAACCCGGCGTGCTCCGTCCCGGCTTTGTAGGGATGCGAAGTCGATGGTCTAACGACTACGGCATGCACGACTATGAGTACACCCCCCCCCACCCCCCCCCCCCCGGCACCGCACCATTGCACCAACCCCCTGCGAGCGATGACGTGCATATGCTGGCTCGGGCGGCCCGTTTTGTGTTGTGTTGTTTTGGGTTATCTTGTGTTGCTCTGTTTGTTTGTTTGTTGTCTGTCGCTACGGCGTGTGTCTCTCTCTGTCTGTGTATTCTCGTTCGCTTTCCCTTCTCTCCATCTGCTCTCTTCTTCTTCTTCTTCTTCTTCTTCTTCTTCTTCTTCTTCTTCTTCGTCTTTTCCGCTTTCTTTTTCGCTTTCTCTTTCTTTTCTTTTTTCTTTCTTTTTCAATATAGGGTTACCTCGCATGACGTGTACAGACGAATGAAGTGGCCTAGACTATCTGTCGTTGACTTTTATTGACTTGCGGACCCTTCGGGTCCATTTTATTTTCGTAACCTTTCTTTGGGTAAGTTAGCCTGCGATCATGGGAATCGACCTCGTCAAGTGTCAAGACTAGTACGGACAGAAGCAGGTACTGGGCAGAGAGAACGGGTCTGTTTTTAATGTGAAGGCAACAACAACAACACACTCATCTCTCTCCTTCGTCAATCGTCCAAGATACGCATGCGATACGTCGCTTGAAACAAAATCAGGGGGATCTCCCCCAACGTCGAAAAACCTGGGGACTTGCACGACATCAACAATCCACTCGACAATTATATTTCATTTTTAGCAATTGTTGTGTTGCTATTGAATGAATTGGTGTAAACGTCAATGTTTGGTAGGGTAGACTAACGATAAAGACAGTTAGCGTGACGACCTACGTCCCCGTACACATACAGAATGTATATATTCATCACAAACCAGGGAAACTAAGCCATACATGTATGGCGAGGGTGCACGAAGAAAAAAGTGAACACGACAGCCTATTAGACACCTCCAAGTGGAGAGCAAGTCAGTGGTGTAGTCCTCATGAGGAAAGAACAATCTCATCCTGCATCTTCATTTTCACTTCGTTCTAAAATCCCCCCCGCCCCTCTCCTCGGTGTTTGCCATCGAGGTTGGGTTTTCGTCGCTTGGCAACGACGTTGTAAAACAAGCCGATCACTTCATGAGCACGGCAACCAAGTCACCGCTTCTTTTTTTTACCTTTTTTGTTTTTGCGGTACCATAATGGTGGTCAAGTGGATCATGTTGCGCGGGGTCGGGAACCCTCACTCCGCGCAAAGGGGATAATCGCACCACGTTGTATTAATTTGGTGGAGCATTCTTGAGGCAGTTACACAGTGCTTACAACTGCCTCTGGAAGTGAAAGCACCAGAATATAAATGAAGTCATACGCAGCTGTCAAGCAGGCTTCAGCGCACCATTCACGCGACTCGCCGAAAACCACACAGCGCTTCGCGCTTGGTGATGTGAGAGCCTGGTCCAGTGAGAACCCGGGGTGCTCCGTCCCGGCTTTGTAGGGATGCGAGGTTAATGGTCTAGCGACGGAATGTACGACTATGAGTACCACCCCCCCCCTGCCCCCCCGCAAGTGGGCTGGCGCTGTTGGCAAAGCGCTGTAAAACACGCCACCCCAAATATAGCCCACATAGTATGCGCTACCAATGACGCGTGACGCATGGACGAGTGGAGTGAGGATAGCTGTTTACGGAAACCTCACAGGTTGACTAGTGTAGGAGATTGCCAGACACATAGACGCGATGAGTGACTATAGCTGTATACTGAAACCTCACAGATACATTGGTTTTTGAGTTTGCCAGACACATAGACATGTTGGGTGGGGATAGCTGCATACTGAAACCTCACAGATGGATTGGTTTTCGAGTTTGCCAGACACATAGACGCGCTGAGTGGGAATAGCTACACACTGGAACCTCACGAGTTAAGTGAATGTTTGATAGTGCCGGACACATAGACGCTTTGAGTGAGGATAGACAAATACAGAAACTTCACAGGTGATTTGTATTGGAGATTGCCGGACACACAGACGTGTTGAGTGAGGATAGCTGCATAACCTCACAGATGAATTGGTGTTTCAGTTTGCCAGACACAGACGCTTTGAGTGAGGATAGACACATACTGAAACCTCACAGGTGATTGCATTGGAGATTGCCGGACACATAGACTTGTTGAGTGAGGATACCTGCATACTANTGTATTGGAGATTGCCGGACACACAGACGTGTTGAGTGAGGATAGCTGCATAACCTCACAGATGAATTGGTGTTTCAGTTTGCCAGACACAGACGCTTTGAGTGAGGATAGACACATACTGAAACCTCACAGGT